CATTCGTTATTTTACGTACTCGGGTATAAGAACAGGGTACGGTATTTATAGAGTAGAACGTCAGGAGTTCATGAACGTCATCAGTTCCTGAACCATCGTTCATGAATAGCGCGAAGTGGCCTTAGTGGACAAAATGAGGCGAGATACATCTGACATGTAGATGCTGAAATACCAAGCAGCCGTGGCCTGATTAAATACCACTTCAGACAACTAGAAACAAGGGGGCGGTGCAATACGTCGCGAAATCTGGTCCTCGAGAAGTTTTTCGTTATTTACTTTGTTATTATACAATTATTTTATGAATTATGAATTTGACATAGGAAGAAACAAACTCAGATGTGGAAGTCGTGTCGGTTCTAGAAACTGACAGAGTATATGATTCGTTCGAGAGCGTTCATAAACAATAATACCATTGCTCCAAAGTATGTATATGATTTTTTTCAATGGAAGACAGTTATATCGATATAAAACGTTTCTCATCGGTAAGCAAGGCATAAATGTTTCCATTCTATCAACAGAAATTTTGTTCATAGACATCACGTTATCGGTCCGTGTTCAAAGCCATATGAATAAGATTCTTGTAACGAATGAACAACTTCTAGAACCGCAAACGATATCGCACCGTTCAATAAAAACAACGGTTTATGCTGAGCTCCCTTCTATCTCGCTAAGTGAATAGTGTTCTTCAGAAAACGCCCTGCTCAATATATGAACGTATCCCTTGCAGAGGCGTGTGAGGGAGATCGAATGGGAAGGAATAAGGTTCCCTTGAGGAACTGATGTGAGGTGACGTTTAACGACGTTTCGATCGCGATAATCTGAGATACCCTTCCAATGAGCCGTTGTTTTTGAAGAATGGTATGGCACAGTTATGGTTCTTTGAATACGTGCTGAGGACGCCTCCACACACCTCACAAATTTTAGTGAAGTTACATGAATCCAGCCGGCAAAGTTTAAATAGTCGACGAATGATGGTCCTGTTGAAAAATTTCCCTGAGGGTATCGCCCTCATGACCAGGCAGACGTGGCCATGAAGGAAGATCGACTGATGGAACAAAATGGGCCTATATAACCGAGAACTATCGGATAGATTAAATCTGCCAGCTTCAGTGCGTTCCTGCGGATAACCGGATGAACAGACGTCCCTTTTCCTCAAGAAACTCTGTTTACCGCATTGGTTCGTTTTTTGATTTCATTACGAGACCTTCCACAAGTACCAAACCCCCTCTCTCGTAAATTAATACTTCATACTCAGCCGACGCCAGCCAATCGAACACTGCCCTCGGGTCGGGCCACGGAACTCGGAAAAGTATAAATTCGTCTTCGCTGATTCGTAGCAGTGCTGTCTCGGTCGGCGATGACGGAACTGGTTCGTTTACAGGACTATCAACCTCGGTCGTCGAAGGGTCCTTCCTCTTGACATTGGTCTTCGGCATGATTTCGACACCGGTCACGAGGAAGTGGCGATGGTCATGAAATGAGGAATGAAGAGATCGAGCGACGACGTTCGCCGGAAAACTGTGCCTGCTTCATCGTCCCCGGACGTTGCATGGCATCGTGTGTTTTCGGTCGTCCACATGGTCAAAACAGCAAACGGGCGAAACTCGCAACAGGCAGCTGGGAGGGAGCCGCCGTCGCCGCCTCCGAGTATCGCGCCTACAAGCAGTTCAGAGGCACGAGGAGCAAGTGCATGCTCCGGTACGCCGCTCGATGCTGCCTCAGGAGGATCGACCTCCTGCTCATCGCCCGAGGAGGTCCAGAGGTAAGCAGTGAGTGACGGTGGCCCTGTGGCGGATCACGTACGAAACGCGATGACCGGTTTGTGGCCGGTTGAAGAAAAATCAACACTCGTCAATGCACAGTCGTTACTGCAGCGATTTCGGATTTACGGCAGCACTAGTGGCATGTGACTGGAAGGGGACTGACACACGTTTAAAGACACAGTAAACAAACGGATAACAGACGGCGACGGTGCTGAGTGCAAACGACTGTGCTAATGGCTAAAAGTGAAAGGCAGGCGATCGATGGCCAAGCCATAATTCAGTCTCACCTGGTGCTATGCTCGGAAGTGATGTAGAGAACGGCTGTTGCCCGTCGGCCGGCAGGCCAGCCCGGTGGACGTCATTGCGTAAACACCACGTTCGAAAGAAAGAACGCACACCGCCA